ACGCTCGCTTTTCCGCATCCTCCTACCTACCTACCTACCTACCTACCTACCTACCTACCTACCTACCTACCTACCTACCTACCTACCTACCTACCTACCTCTCCCGTGTGCGCCTGAAATGCGGTCCTGTTTGTGCGCGCGCGATACGCTTAACAAAGGTCGCGTCCTCCCTCGGCTCTTGATAACAACCTCCGCCGCCGCCGCTGCATCGCCTACGCCTACGCGTGTAGTCACTACTACCGCTCGTCGTCGAGGGATATTTAAGTGCTTGTGTTTTATTGGGGACTCGCGAAAATTCGTTGGATCGCCGCAGTGATCTCATTTCCACCACTCGGCAGATGAATCATCCGCGCGAGGAGCGCGGCCGCGGAGTTCGACGATTAACAATTAAAATAACATTATCTACCGCACCGGAGAGCGACGGCAGATAAAACATACACAGAGAAGAAAGTTGTTCGGCCCGTTCGCCCGTTTGAGCTTAGACGGCCTATAATTCGACACATTCGCATTTTGTTGCTCGTGACTGAGGTAATCACACACACACACACACACACACACACACACACACACACACACACACACACACACACACACACACACACACACACACACACACACACAGCCGGTCGCCCGGACCTATTCTCTGTGTGTGCTGTGAACGCCGTATGAATGACGTACGTATTAATTAGCGATTCTACTCTGTTGATCGGCGATGATCAATTCGGGGCGTTTGCAATTGTCGATAACTGTAGAGTGGTAATTGTTATACTTTACGAATAATGATTTCATTAATATTAATAATTAATAATTATGCACGCGCTGGACGCGTCATCGACGTCGTCGACGCCTCCATATTTTTCTCACGTTTCTTTTTCTTTTCTTTTCTTTTTTTGATAGCCTGCCGAGAGTACACAAACTTTGCGAGACGCTTTACGTGACGATCAAATTGCACACTCGCCCGGCATTGACGCTCCCCCCCCCCCCCATTTAATGTCCAGCCTCCACAGCTAGTCCAGTCGTCCACCACCGCATCGATTACTGCATTTCATACACTTTACATCTTCATCACTTTTATCACTTCAGCACACTGTACTCACTGTACTCACGACAGTATCCAACGAGTCAACGGAAAGTACGATTGATTTCGACACGCGCTTTGGAAACGCGCATCGCAGCGACCGTGTAGTTCTCAGCCAATAAAAATAGTGTTAACTCGGTATTAACATGGATATTTTTGCTTTATGTTTATAGTATGTTTTCTTCCACTTTCCCTCCCACTTTCCAGGTTAACAATATCTTTTCGCAGAGCGCGACGTGCTTCTTCGCTATTTTGTTACTATCAATCACGAGGCCAAAAACACGAGGCGAAAAACGCGCTGGACCAACTTCCGTGCCGACCTCTAACAAAACTTGATAACTTGATCGTAATTTAATTGGAGAACGGTCGTAAATAAAGCGGAGAGATCGAATAAAATTGAGACTTGTAAAAGTTCGCGTCTGCGTCGGCGTCGGCGCGCGACAACGTTCCTGAAGCGGCCGCTTCAGAGCTCGACAAAAGTTCCATAACCGAATAACCAGAGAAAAGCGCCAGATAAATGAATACGGTTTGTAACGCACATATGTGTCGATCAGGTGTCATCCGTTCACGATGCTTCATTGTGTGTTTGATTTATCCTACGCAATTTTTATACATTAAAGCGCGCTCCATTTACGCACTTCTTTCATCAGTAGCAAACCGATATTCCGACTTCGCAGCGTTATTATTTCTCCAAACTACAATCTGATTTATCCGAAATCTCCTCCGAATTCCCTCCTCGCCAGGTATTTCGACTTGCTGTCGAATTTTTCCCTGCTGCGAGTACCTCGACCTCGGCGCGAACTTTTCGCAGCGCGCAGCGCGGGATATAATCGTGTGCGCGCTGCGGACGAGCAATCCCAATCAGCCTCAACCTGCTGCTGTCGCACACGCTGTGGCTGCGAGGCGAGTCGACTCGACTGAGGAACAAATAGTGTCACCGTAATTACAGACATTCTCCAACTCGTATCGTATCTAGCCTAAAAGTCTCATTGTCCTTCTTCCCGAGTATAGAAAAATTAATGGAGCACTGGTACAGGGCCTGCTGATTATTTTTCCCTAACATTAATCGGGCCTTGGTATAGGGATAGAAAGACAAGGATGTGTAACAAATGGTTTAACGGATCCTTTCTCGGATTGTAAGGCAATATCAACGGGGTCCCTTATAAGGGACCTTATAATATTAATAGGGCTTTACAAGTAAAATATTTTTATTATTTTGTGTTTGTGTAAAAATATTTGTTCTTCTTATTCTAAGAAATTTAGACCGTAATTTCTTGATTTCTTTATAACCTTGTTAGTACACGACAGAAGAATTTTTTTATGACAAAACCTGATTTTGTATATCTGAAGCATCCTCTTGAAAGATCCTTTTCCTTAAGGCCGCCCACATCAGTTTTCCATGTTAAAGCGTTATTTCGTAAAATCAAAGGTATTCCTAAAGAAAATCCATCTCGGGGTCTGGCGTGGTAGGGCATCCTTATACCTTCAGCTTCATCTTACGGGGCCTTACGGGGGCTTCGTGAGGAGATGGCCCTAACAATTTTTTGTTACTCGGGTTGTTCCTCTTGTTCCCCCTTCGTTTTTCTAACAAAAGGTGGCGCGTACCAATATGCACGTAAAATTATCACCGTCAACATTGTACAGTAACGTACGTAGGAAAATGGTTCTCCCGACCTGCAACCGTCCCGCCATGAAGCTACAGTCGCGAACATTTGGAAACAATTTTCCTCCCTGCGGAGGAGCGGAGGAGCGCGCCCGCGCCCGCTCGCTCGGCGGGCAGTTTCGATTTGAATGCGAGAATCGCGCCAATGTTCTCCGGTGCCTCGCGCCGGTCGCGCCGGACGCCGAGCAATTAGTCCTTGCCTTTAGATCGACACCTGAATTGAATCGGCTAAAGCGCAGCGCTGCTTCTCGGTTTAAAGGGGCTCGCGGCGACGCGCTTTAAAGCCGATGTGTGTCAAGAGCGCTCCGGATTTAAGTTCCACTCGAGCAAGTTGGGCGAGTTTGTAGCCCTGTCCCTCTCCCCGTTCTCGTTGCAAGAATTATGAATCGGTTATTAATACGCCGACGTCGAGCGGCGAATCGGTTTTCCAATCTCCTCCCGGCGCGTTTGCTGCTGCTGCTGCTGGCGCCGGCTTCCGATTGTATTTTTACGTGAGCTACGCTTACCGTGAAATTTACCACGATTTACTGCGAGTCCGGGAATAGAGGCACTCTTAATGGGCGATACGGAAGAATCGCCGATGAAATAATCCACTCCCTCGCTTGTTGACGACGAGGACGAGGACGAGCACGAGGACGAGGACGAGGACGAGGACGACATTTCGTACGCGAGGCTCGCCGGTGCGAAGCGTCACATTGCTCGAGAGCCGTTCGATGTGGGTCAAATTTACCCCGAGATGACGTTTATCGAGCTGACGGCTACGTCCCTGCGCGCACCCCCGTGAAAGTGGGTCGTCGTTAAATATGGGTCAGGGTCGTCTCTTTGTCTGGAGCCTTCGCTCTCTACCGCGAGCGAGCTCCCGCTTTGCGAGGAGCCTCGGCGCGATTATCCGCGCGCGATACCATCTTCGCGCATCCGCGCGCGCGTGCTCTCCTGCCTTCTTCTTTCTTTCATTCTCTTCTCTTCTCTTCTCTTCTCTTCTCTTCTCTTCTCTTCTCTTCTCTTCTCTTCTCTGTTCTCTTCTCTTCTCTTCTCTTCTCTGTTCTCTTCTCTTCTCTTCTCTGTTCTCTTCTCTTCTCTTCTCTTCTCTGTTCTCTTCTCTTCTCTTCTCTTCTCTGTTCTCTTCTCTTCTCTTCTCTTCTCTGTTCTCTTCTCTTCTCTTCTCTTTTTTTTTTTCTTTCTTTCTCTTCTCTTCTCTTTCTTCTCTTCTCTTCTCTTCTCTTCTCTTCTCTTTCTCTTCTCTTCTCTGTTCTCTTCTCTTCTCTTCTCTGTTCTCTTCTCTTCTCTTCTCTTCTCTGTTCTCTTCTCTTCTCTTCTCTTCTCTGTTCTCTTCTCTTCTCTTCTCTGTTCTCTTCTCTTCTCTTCTCTGTTCTCTTCTCTTCTCTTCTCTGTTCTCTTCTCTTCTCTTTCTCTTCTCTTCTTTCTCTTCTCTTCTCTTCTCTTCTCTTCTCTTCTCTTCTCTTCTCTTCTCTTCTCTTCTCTTCTCTTCTCTTCTCTTCCCTTCTCTTCTCTTCTTTCCTTCGCTCCCGCGGCCCGCACGCGCGCCATTGATCGCGCGGTCTTAGCTCGGATTATGCCATTGCCGTTCTCTCAGCATCGCTCTCACATTCGAGGAAGTCGATTTAATAGAACACGGTGTCGCATATTAATCGGACATTCTTCTGATTATCGGGAATTCCGGCCGCCACGCCCGGGTAAATATTGAATGAGCACAAAAGTTTTGATTGCTTCCTCAAAGATGCGATCCAGTTTCAGTGCGACAGCACTTATATACAATATATCACGGATAATAGAAAACAATGGCGATCACTCGGTAGAATGGGGGCCGGGGGGCAGGGTTCTTGATCAACTTGCTCGGCTCATTTTTTTATCTCGAGATCCACCCAAAGTTTTGCGCTCGCTCAATAATTGAGTATGCGTTGCGAGAAGAAAACAGCGTTGTTGTAAACATTCTTACTAAAAATAATGACTTTTTTGTCCTCCCCTCAGTTGTATCTTCTTGTTTTTCTTCTAACTAAAAAAAGAAAAGAAAAAAAAAGCAGTAGTAGATGTACATATATGATATAATTATAAAAAAATAATAATGTAATTGAAAAATTCTTCCATTATGTAATTTTTCTAATCGATTGAAACAGCTAGGCGTCTCATCGCGTGGACACGCGAGGGCACTCCGAGAACGAAGTCGACGAATATCGCGTTGTGCACTCGACGTGCTCCGCTTATGTTAGACTGTAACCGAATGATGGATTTTCCTTGCAGTATATGACGGAGAAGATGGGCGGGGCTGAGGGGACGAAGCTCGACGTCGACTTCGTGGATATGGAAAGGGTGAGTTTGAGGGTGAATTTTGTGTGTCGTAAAGTGCTACTTTTTACACATCCGCGCGCGTGCTCTGCGCGCGCGGTTCTTCACGAGGTCGTCGCGAAAAGCGAATGACTCGTGCATTCCGCGCCGGTGTTAGGTTAGGTTATTGCTGAGTTAAGCTCAAATATTTACTCCCGGATCTCTCTTCCTTTCCTCCCTCCCCTTTCCCAGCCCGTGTGAATTTTCTCAATTTAGCGTCATCCTTCAAAGAGCGCGTTGCGCTTTTCGGAGGGAAGTCCCGCGAAATGCGTGTTGTAAGACGAGCCTTTGAAAAAGTTATGATAGCCGGTCTTCGCGCGCGATCGGGATATTTCGCTTTGCTCGTACCACGGTACGATTCGATACCCCCCGGCCCCCCTCGACAATGAAATCTCTCTCTCTCTCTCTCTCTCTCTCTCTCTCTCTCTCTCTCTCTCTCTCTCTCTCTCTCTCTTTCGCGGGACTTCGTTTTGAGCTGTCGCAGCCGTGTTTTAGCCGTGGCATCTCTCTCGACGTGATCCCGCGAAGCGGAGCGGAGCGACTTAACCGGCAATAAATGTTTTTCACATGCAAACGTTACACGCAGAAAACAGACGTCACCTGCGAGCTCGTGGAGGAGTTGCAGATAAAGACGAAAGAATTCCTCCAGCCGAATCCAACCGCGAGAGCGAAGATGGCCGCGGTGAAGGGGATCAGTAAGCTCAGCGGTCAGGCGAAGGCCTCGACCTACCCTCAGCCGGAGGGTGTACTCGGCGAATGCATGCTCACCTACGGCAAGAAAATGGGCGAGGACAGCATTTTCGGTATATGCGATTTACGAGTTAACCGTTAACCGGTTCCCGTTGCCCTCCCTTCGCCAGCGCGATGGCAATCTCTCTTCTACTCAAGTTGCCCTCTCCAGGGCAATTTGTCGCGGCGAAAATTCTCTTCCCGTTTGCTTGTCTTCAAGCCGGGGAAATAAATGGACGTCTCAAACGGCAGAGATAACTCGGCGAATTACGTCCGATTATTCGTCCTGCGTTCGATTTCGTTTGCGTTTTGCGGATTAAATTCGCGTATGCCTACGTTTACGAACGAAAGCGGCGAAATTTAAGATTCGGTCGGGAGGAGTCGGGGGGATACGAGGGAGGAAAGAGTGACAATGCTCGGGGTCGCATGAGAATCTGAAGAAGAGATAAAACTCAGATGAGATGACTTCTGACTTCGAGAGATTGCGCGCGAGAAAAAATCCGCGAGAGAGTGAAGAAAGTTAAGTCGAGTCGAGTTAATAAGTCGCTTCAGAGCTGTCAACTGCTGAGAGCGCTGGGGTTATGTCGCGATATGCCTTATTTCCGCGCTCTAAAATATCAACAAATGAGGAGACTCAAGAACGTGCTATTCGCACGCGGTGAAGACTTTCGCCGGACGCCTTTAGGCTTTAGGCTGGCCCCCCTCCCGCGCGCGCCCTAAGGGTTGAGAATCGATCGATACGACAGGACGTACCGCATAATTCCTCGGCCCTCAAGCTTTCTCTTTTCTATCGATTCCTGCAGCCCAGGCTCTCATCGAGATGGGCGAAGCCATGAAGCAGATGGCCGACGTGAAATATTCTTTGGACGATAACATCAAGCAGAACTTCCTCGAGCCGCTACACCACTTGCAGACCAAGGATCTCAAGGAAGTGATGGTACGCTTATTAGAAAAGTTGCGCGCCGCGGCCGCAATATTCTCTGTCGCGCGTTCGCTATACTCTCTCACCTTACGCCCCATCATCTTGCGCCATCTTATATTTTTCGCTATTAATTTCGTTCCAGCATCACCGGAAGAAACTGCAAGGTCGTAGACTGGACTTTGATTGCAAACGAAGACGTCAGGCGAAAGGTACGCGAGCATGCTACCGTACGCTCTCCCCCTCCCTCCCCCCTCTCTCTCTCTCGCTCTCTCTCTCTCTCTCTCTCTCTCTCTCTCTCTCTCTCTCTCTCTCTCTCTCTCTCTCTCTCTCTCTCTCTCTCTCTCTCTCTCTCGCTCTTTCTCGCGTACGCGTTCTTATTGATTTATTCAGGCACGAGCGACGCCGCAACCGCACGTGTCCTTGCAGTGCGCGAAAACGCAAATACGTAGAGGGAACATTCGCGATTTCGAAGGATCGAAAAATAAAAATCACTTTCGCCCGGTGGGTGAGACTCTAATCGGGATCGCGACGTCGCCGGTGTAGATCGCGCAGCATCATCCTCGTGGCTCGAGTTGCAGAACAGAAGCTCGGGTTGCGCGGGAGGGGAAATGTAAATTTCGATATTACGGCGACGTAAAAGGGGACGGTGGGAGCTCGATCCGATAAGAAGAGAGGATGGCGACTTTGAAGAGTTGGCGTGTCCGAGCGTGTCCAAAGCTCGCTGTTTCGAGCTCGAGATATCGCACACCGAGGGAGAAATGTTGTCGGTGCTTTCGTGCGACTGCGACTGCGACTGCGATTGGCCGAATGATTACGCGACGGGAGGGGGGGACACTTCTTACGGGGAACGTTGCCGACAAACGTCGTTGGCGACAAGCGCGCATTGCGGTCTTTTCGTTAGAATGACAATTGTGCTCCCGAGGAAAAATAACTCCGCGAGGACTCCGCTTTTTGTTTGTCAGGACAACAAAAAGATACGGTCGGTGAACGCGAGAATCTCTATATATGACGTTTGTTTTATATCGCGTTTCGCGGTGATACCTCGGCTCGATACCTCGAGATGGTTTCCATTTCCTCCGCCCTCCGCCCTCCGTCCTCCTCTTTTTCAGCCTAACGACACGTCGCGGGACACTTTGAAGCTTCTTACGGGGCTGATTTCGTTCCTCCCCTATTGCCGGCATGAGAAAGTAGAATCAAACGGATCTTCTCCTCCTTCTTTCTGCCGCGCGCCGTAAGATGACGATTGGCTGTCGCAGTGGAGCGGCGCGTTTTATCGCGAACGTGCGCGATGTCACATGAGATTGTTGCACGAACAAATGCACGAACGACGCATCCGAAAAAAGTTTATATTAAAAATTATTATATTCAATAAGATATAAATCAATAAGATTTGCATTATACATATAACATATAATTCCTCTAACTTTACGAATAATGTGTTTGTAATATTTTCCTCTTAATCTTAGAGGGATCCTCTTGAGGCTCTTGAGGATATAAGAATAAAATGTTGAAAAATTTCGATGATTCCGCTTGGTCTGAAATCACTTTTTTTTGGGTGCGCGTTAGAAAGGAGGAAAGATCCCTCGTCCGCGCATGCTCCGCTGCACGAACATGATCGAATAAAATGATAAACTGCCGTGTCGCAAACACACACACACACACACACAAGCGAACAAAACGAATATGTACATCGCCGTCGTGGAAAGTAGAGCGAAAGAAATGTTACATGTTCGCATGTGCGGAACATGTTTTTCTCTTTTTCATTCTCCCTGCGGAGTGTTTTTCTTTTTCTTTTTTTTTCATTTTCTTTTTCTCCATATTGTGGGCTGAGATGTTCGCACGATTGGTTCGGTTTTAATCGGGCGAGACTCATAGGACGATTGAGAGCTACCGCCCTCGATGAGTCGCTCACTCACTCACTCACTCACTCACTCACTCACTCACTCACTCACTCACTCATTCACTCACTCACTCACTCACTCACTCACTCACTCACGATTTCTTTGCATCGCGCCCTGAATTGCCCGAATAATTTTCGCTTTTTCGCCGGTCCGCGATCCGCAATGTTCTCATTGGACGGCCGATTTAACGATTAGTGACTGGGAAGAGATCCGGCAGTCCGCATTTCGGAAGTCCAGCGCGATCGAGCACCTCGTCACCGTTTGCTGGTACGTGGTGACTTACGCGTTTCGCGTTTTAGCAGCAGTTTTAGTCGTAGCTCTAGTCGCGCGTATTCGTATCGAGACTTTTGCGACTTTTGCAAGCCACCTTTGCTTAGGCTTAGGTAATAATCCTCGGCGGATCCTCTCACGCAGCTGTTTGTTTTGCAAGAGCGACGACTCCGTCGGTCGTTCGGAGCAAATCAGTCTGTTTCACGCTTTCTCACAATCGTCAATTAGTAGTGCGTGCGTGCGTAGAATTTAATTGCGCTTTCGTTTCCGAGAGCGAGCTGTAAAGTTCTCTGCTGTTAAGCATTTAGTTTAGAAGACCAAGCAACCTCCCCCCGCCCGCCCCTCAGTAGTGCGCAACCTTTTTTAATACGTGTCGACGGGGCGACCGTTTGCGAACAGGTTCTCACGTTTCAGACGACGAGATCCGTCAGGCCGAGGAGAAGTTCGCGGAGAGCCTTCATCTCGCGCAAATGGGCATGTTCAATTTGCTGGAGAACGACGTAAGTCCGAACCGTTATCGCGCCGTCTCGGCGCGTCGTTATTTCATCGACGAATGCGAGATGCTTGCGCGTGCAACGTCATGATGACGTTAACGTCAAGCCAGCTCTCACTCTCACACTCATTGCTCTTTCCACGCTGCTTGCAGGTCGAGCAAGTGGCGCAGTTGGCGACCTTCAGCGAGGCCCTCCTCGAATATCATCAACAGTGCACCGACGTCCTCAGGGTGCTGACGGAAACGCTTCTGGATAAGTACGCTCGCGATCGTACTTCGCTGTTGTTGCCGGGAACTTTCCCGCGCAAGCTCAAGGTTGCGCAAGCTTCGCGCAGCCGAGCTAAATTGCATAATTGGAGTCCGACCGACACGAGCAATCCGGATTCATCTAGAACGAACAGACGCGAACAGAACGCGTGAAAGTACGCGAGAAAATCCCGTTGAAAACGTCAAAAGACGCGGCTCGTGCCACCCTCGCGCCTCCCTCGCGCAACCCTGAAGTTGAGTCGCGCCTCGATTGATTTCCGCTTTCGTGTAACATCATGGACGAATCTCTCTCTCTCTCTCTCCAGGAAAGAAGAGGCGGTGAACAGACCGAAGATGGAGTTCGTGCCGAAGACGCTCGCGGACCTGCACGTGGAAGGATTGTCGGCGTCGGACATGAACGGTGGGAACTTCTCACTTCACGGTAAAACAGATTTCACAAATATCCGCCACAACGCGACGACACTCGGGTGGTCTGGCTGTCTGACTGTTCCCCCTCCTTGTAACACTGTCATGCCCCGGTGTTTTTACATGTTCCTCTTACGTGGGGTGCAGCGCTGACCTGACCGGACAGCCTAACCGCGTTCTTCCGTTTCACCCTGGAGCGAAACTGCTTTCGCGAAAAATTTGGTCGGGATCCTTTGTGCCTTGTTTCTCTCTCTCTCTCTCTCTCTCTCTCTCTCTCTCTCTCTCTCTCTCTCTCTCTCTCTCTCTCTCTCTCTCTCTCTCTCTCTCTCTCTCTCTCTCCCCCTCCCCTCTCCCTCCCCCTTTTCCCCTCTTCCCCTCTCCCTCCCTCTCTCTCTCTCTCTCTCTCTCTCTCTCTCTCTCTCTCTCTTTCCCCTTCTCTTTCTCTCCCCTCTTTATCTCGCACATACTAATTGTACTGTATTACTCAACGTCAAAACTAAGCAGTGTGATTCATGGGTGAAACCTCGCGTCTCCTTCCGAGAGAGATGTGTTCCTCTCCCGTGGATGTCCGGACTGATCAGAACTCACTCGTAGGCGCGTCAAGTGCGCGAACGGTGCGCGAGTGAAGTGAGCGCAAACTCGAGAGGTGTCGTGAATTTTTCACGTCGCTTCATCTCGGGGATGAGCGGCGGCTGGGTCCTGGGGCGGGGGTGTAGCGGCGCATAGACGTTTTTTGCTTTATTCCGAAAATTAATGGAACATCGATGTTCGATCGATATCTTGGGGAGAAAAAGAGGGATAAAAAACGGGTCTTCGCGAACTCGTTTGTGGCACACTCAGCTACGTAGTACGTTCATTTATCACGCTGTCAGTTAGGCGCGCGCCGCTGCAACGGACGTGGGATCCTTTAAGATTCGACCCCCGCGGTCTCGTGTGCAACGTACACACCCGCGCGCGCGCACACACACACACACACACGTCTCGTTATACCATCACACTACCGTCTTCCTCCGATTGTGCTGTGTCTATAATGTGGCATACCTGAATGTCTGTCCTTCTGACACAATGTAGGGGCAAGTCGAGCCGGCTCTCCGATTCATGCGGACGGGAAGCGCTCGCAGCTCGAGCTATTTCCGGCCGGAAACCCACCACAATCTACCAATGGTAAACTTTGCATGGGGGTTTCCTTCTTTGTCCGAGAAGCGAAGGGACAGACGCGATTCCTGTCGCAAGCCGCGCAGAGCGGTCGCCGCAGCGTTCTCGCGATCGAGTCGCGATCACCGAATTTCGTTCCTTGCGCACGCGCGCGCGAGCGAGCAAGCAAGCAAGCAAGCTGCAAATCAAATTAGACCGTCATCATCGGTGATCGCGGCGAGGCATCGTTACTGCGATCGATCCCGCGCGTATTTCGTTTTTCTTTCAATGGGCTTTTTCACCGCTTTCCCGTGACGATGCTGACGACTTGATCACAGTGCACGTTCGTTAGATAGTAGCCTGCCACCCTGTGTCGTAGAAGAAGGTTGTATTACGTGATCTTTAAGTAATCACTTCGAACGGTCTCTCTGCAATGAGAAGGAAGGGATCGCTTGGGAGAGATATCACGGCAGATGATTTGTGATCCATATTCTTTCTTTGCTTGAACTTTGGGTTTCGCTCGTAACAACAAAGGCAAAGTCACACCTGTTAAGTAAAATCTGTTAAGGGGGGAATTGCATGCGGAGCAGGCAGGCCGTATAATCATGTAATCATGTTTAAAAAAAATGAATAAAATAAAATATAACTGTGTTCGAGGTAGGGGTGCGAAAATTACTAATGTCTACCACTATGTATATTGTGCATATGCATAAACATTTCTAGTCATTCGGTTCGGTTCACAGTAGTTTTTGCGCAATCGTGTCGACAGTTTAAGAAAATGCTGTTTCCAGAATGTTCGCAAAATGTTCAAAGTTTTACGTGTACTTTCCATATAGATGGTAGAACAAATTTATTTTATACTTTGAACATTAATTAATGATTACACTGTGAAAGTCTTTCAAGTCCATTGACCCTTGATCGTTTCTGTTAAAAAGAAAAATTCGTAAAAATAGGTTTGAGAAGGCGGCCTGATCCGCCGACGATAATTCCCCCCTTTCCGCTTAAGAGGATATAAATCTTTCGTGCTTTCATTCATCAGTTTTTAGTCTGACTAATGTCCAACTGTGTTGGTAACATAAGGCGTAACTTTTGAAAAGTTACATTATTTTATCACTTTTGTCACTCTGTTGTATTATTTCGTTGCTCCGATTTTTACGCAGATTTCACAAAACTCGGCTTCGTTCTCGTCGCACCGACTTACCACCATTATTAGCTCATGTCGGCAATTACATGTCAATTTCGATAGATTGACTTTCATTCATTTTCGTCGAGTGTCGACTTATTTTGTTGTTCGCATCGGAACAGAGACCGGCAGCTGCCCGCTGCCAGCTGGTCGCGCGCGCGCTTTGCTCACCCCGACGTGATTGTTGCTCGGTGCGTAGAGAGAGAGAGAGAGAGAGAGAGAGAGAGAGAGAGAGAGAGAGAGAGAGAGAGAGAGAGAGAGAGAGAGAGGGAGAGGGAGAGGGAGAGGGAGAGGGAGAGGGAGAGGGAGAGGGAGAGGGAGAGGGAGAGGGAGAGGGAGAGGGAGAGGGAGAGGGGGAGGGAGAGAGGGAGAGGGAGAGGGGGAGGGAGAGAGGGAGAGAGAGAGAGAGAGAGAGGGAGAGAGGGAGAGAGAGAGTTTTGAATGTTGTCGTCGTAGCTGAAACACGCGGGTACGCGGTAGTATAGACATGGTGGTCGTACGCGGCGACTTATTTCCTTTCCTGTTTTTTCTTTTTTCTTTTTTTTTTCTTTATCGAGCGTGGCTTTCAGTAGTTTAGCATTCGATGCCGACTATTTCCAGCTTCACCTCTGCCCTCACCGAGCAAATCGCCAGCGAGGACGCCGATAATCAGAATACCGTGCTGCACAGCTCTCTACGACTTTGAGCCTGAAAATCCCGGTGAACTTGGATTCAAGGTAAATCCCACGTTACATCACACGCGTCGGTTGCGTTGGAGAGGCGTCTGGACTGAAGGTCTGAAAGTGCGCGAAGGCTGACTGGGAGACGTCTTAAGCCTTCCTTATCTCGAGAGCTCGGTCTATTCTCGTTCTCATGGAGTTTCAATTGAAAGTCCGCTTTCTTGTAAACTTGTAAGCTTTCGCAGACGTTTCTCTTTTCGTTTCTCTCTTCGTTCGTTCGTTCGGGCGCGTCATTTTCGGAAACTTCGTCGCTCGAAGGCACGCACGCACGCATTAAAGGCCCTTCTACGTTAGTCGTAATTCAGGCATTTCATGACGATCGTTTGCGACCGTCGTCGAGCGACGACGAGCGTCGGAGCAGCCAAGGCTTTGCGCGACCAAGGTGGAAGGGTCCTAACCTCATCGACGACATCGCTCGCCGATCACTCAACGATCGCGTTTCCTTCGCAGGAGAACGACACGATCACCTTGACCCAGAAGCTCGACGAGAATTGGTTCGAGGGCAGCCTGGACGGCCGCATCGGTTACTTCCCCGTCACCTACGTGCAGGTCGTAGTGCCATTACCCTAGAACGACGCCGCGCATCTCGAAGCCAAAGACCCAGCATTCGTTCACTAGCGTCTACCAAGGGATTATATTCTACTCTTCAGCTAGCCTAAAAGACACCCGAAACTACTACCCCGTTCTCGATCGACGAGTCTATCTACCTACTACTTACTTATCACTTGCGTTACAGCCCTCCGCAGTGTCCCTACGATCTACTTCGATATCTACTTCGACTCCCGACTCCGAGAATAGCCTGTATTACGCATGTTAATGTACATATATAATGTTATAGTGTCTTTTATCGACGTAAGGACCTTCGCGCGCGCAGACACACACGACATGCATACTCAGAAAATGTGCATAGATACATATAGACGTATTATACACAAAGACACATCGACACACATGCCGCTTACCTCAATAAGACACACACACACACACACACACACACACACATTAAAGTACCTATGATAGCAGTTCACTGTCAAGGGCGGCTCTCTCCTCATCTTTTTTCTTTTTTACATTTTTTTATTACGCTTCGCCCTCCCCCCCCCCACACACACACAGTTTCGAAATTTTTTTCACTACTTACAGTTCGAGTGCACAAACAAGAAAGAACAAGAAAGGAAGGGAAAAACAAACACGGAAAAGGAGAAAGAAGAAATGTCGAGCCGAGTCGAGCATACGCATGATGGGCCGATTGATTATGGCAGAGCGCGAATTTCACCGAAACGTAGTTCCCCCTCTGAGATCCGATTATAGTTACGCTCAACGTGCGCAACGCGCGTTGTTCGTCTCGTTCCTCGTAAGCGAGCCGAGGCTCTCTCGGTGTTGTTTGTTTCCTATTTTAGCGAATCCAGCACTTCATCCGCACAGGCAGGATATCGCGCCCGCGCGATCGTCCTGCCTGCGCGATGGGGTCATTCGGATGGGGTGAGATTGTTCCAGCATTACATTTGATTTCTCTCGCTAACTGAACGACAACACTGAACGTTTTAGTAACGACGTTAGTCAATCGCGTTGTCGCGTCGTCCGTCGACATCTCGAAACCTAGTTGAATTTTTTCCTTCTACTTATACGATAGACGCTTTACGATTAAAACGAACAAAAAAAAGAGAGATAAATTGCTAATCGAAGCTATTTAATTCACTTTGGAGCAACGTCGTAATTTAATCCCTATGAGAAGACAATTGGACATATTGAACTTCTGATGTAAAGGCTAAAGAAATTCACGTCACTTTCCAAATATAACACACACATATATATATATATATATGTTACACACACACACACACACACATATATATACGTATACATATACATTTACATGCACCGTCGCATGTTGGATGAAACGAATTTTGAAACTCTTTTCTTTGATCGGTGCGATAGTTTAATCGTCACGTGACCGAACGTGAATGTCGCTGGAGCAATCTTTTGCATCGAGTTGCGCATAAGGGGAAACTCGCGGCCGCCGAATCGTGCAGGTTTCCTCCTGTGGCTCGTTTAATCGTGAAAAGCGCATGACTTTCTTCGTGACTTTTGGTTCGATCATACTCAATCGTACGTACACACACATGTTTCTTTTTGCGTTGGTCCATGCGGCGCAGCAAAACTCGTTAAACTCGTGCAATGTACTCGTATGATAATATTATAGCGATTCCTTTTCATTTCTCGGTCGATTGACCGTTCTTTCGGCCGTACACACACACACACACACACACACACACACACACACACACACACACACACACACACACACAAAAGCGCGCGCGCGCGCACACACGCACAAAAGCGCGCGCGCGCGCGCACACACGCACGCACGCACGCACGCACGCACGCACGCACGCACGCACGCACGCACGCACGCACGCACGCACGCACGCACGCACGCACGCACGCACGCACGCACGCACGCACGCACGCACGCACGCACGCACGCACGCACGCACGCACGCACGCACGCACGCACGCACGCACGCACGCACGCACGCACGCACGCACGCACGCACGCACGCACGCACGCACGCACGCACGCACGCACGCACGCACGCACGCACGCACGCACGCGCGCATGCACGCACGCACGCACGCACGCACGCACGCACGCACGCACGCATGCACGCACGCACGCACGCACACACACACACACACACACACACACACACACACAGCCCACACACACCCACACCCACACGCACACATACCCACACAGACACACACACACACGCACACATATACACCGTATATACATATACCGTTTTCCTTTCTTCGTTCTCCATTCTTTCCCTCTTCGTTTCTTTTTTAATTGCTAGATGACATTAGCTAGAAATTAGGATTTACTTAATTTAAGCGAACCTCGAAATGGCGGCGAATCTCTTCCACGAAGTCATTATTCTCGATCTACAGTGATTATTGTAGGCAATTCCCGGCAATTGTTTTTCGATAACGATGATCTCGAGATTTATTTGTTGTCGGAAAAATTCCGGAACGACGAATGTGATGTAACGCTTAACCTCGATATGGTTTGGGCAATCTTTTCCCCCGAGCACAGCGTGGGACACAGCCGATGGTTCAACGAGAGAGAAAGAGGGGGGGGGAGAGAGAGAGAGAGAGAGAGAGAGAGAGAGAGAGAGAGAGAGAGAGAGAGAGAGAGAGAGAGAGAGAGACAGAGAGACAGAGCGAATTATCTTGTGCGAATTAATCTCGCTGGACTACTGGAATTGCGCTCCAGACTGCGCATCGAAGAAAAAGTGTCCAAAGCACATTGAAACCAAGTGTGTGCTCGTACGCACTCGCACTCGTTTAATCCGTTTAGTGAAATTAGAAGCGCATCGAATGGTCACGATTGCGAGCCACTGGTTCTCACGTGCTTGTACGATGATCAGTCATGACAAAAGTCGAATGACAATGCGCGGTGTAAATAGTGACCCTTTATTATATTCTTACCTGATAGATGAAAGTATAATAAAAAAACTTGCAACTTTCCGGAATCTTCCGTGCAAACTGGTGGACTCGCAATTGTGCCAATTGTCCGAAGTGCTCCCAACTCGGGATCGGAACAAGCGTGTGCAAGTGAGTGTTTAGAATAGGGTGTTTAGAAAAGGATACGTTACTTTGAAAGCGAAAATAAAATCTCTAATAAACATAGACCGACAGATAGATCGGACAGTAGTGGATAAATTTTTTATTTTGATGGTGAAAGCAGCTTGCTCATTGCTATTCAATTCACAGACGGCATGGAAAAGATAAGATTGCTTTGTGAATGCTCATGAGAAAAAATTCACTGATTCGTTGTTCCCGCTGCTGGCAGACTCATACTTGATGCTGTGTATGTGTGTGTGACAATGCTGATAATACCTACTAAGAATACTCGGTATAGAGACGTCGAAATTAGCGTACGCGTTAAAATTATTTTATGCGTACGTGTCGTTCGAGTTGAACGAGTATAAGCGAGCCACTTAGGCCGTCAAAAGTTCAACGAGTCTTTACTATCCGAAGTGACGTATCTTCTGTCTTTAAAACACCCGTCTGTGGAATTAAAATTAGCGTCTTTATGTAACGGAAAGTGATAGTAATTTATAGAGAGGAACAATGATATAATTTATTCCTTTGATATTAGAAGTGACGTGACTCAAGAATGTCGTGTGTATGAAACCACGGGGAATCATGTCGTGGGACAAGAAGAACGTAATTCTCCCGAGAGAGAGAGAGAGAGGGGGGGAGAGGGAGAGAGAGAGAGAGAGAGAGAAAGAGAGAGTTCTGTTTTACTGTATTCTTGGAGGAACGAGCGAAATTTTTCCGACATACTTTATGACGCTTGTCGCGTGTAGCGAGCCTTCTCCTTTTATTTAAAGATTGATCCTTTTTTTAACAACTTTTTAAATTATTCATTCCGCGAACACAAACGTTGCGTTTCCATTTTTTACACACGCCTGACGAAAATAACACCGCAACAGACGCAATAATTTCGATTAGTATTATTAGCCCATCGGCATAATAACAGCGCAAGCGCAAAAGAGTAACACGAGGATGAGAAACAAACAGACTTTCTACTTGAACGAGCACCTCGGTAGTGTTTATACGTTAAGTGCATAGTCTAACATAGACCCGACCGGTAATTATATTTTCGCGCAGCACCGACGATCAGTTTCGAACCCGCGCTCCTTTCTGACTTTGTACGAGAGTTCAACCGCCAGAACAATGAAAGTAATTAAGGAACTTGGTTATTTGTTGCCACACGTGAATTTTAGGTAAAAATCTTCGAGCGATATATCTGCTAAGCATAATGTAATGACACTAGACTAAAATAACTTACACGTATAATATCGTCGATAAGGGCGACGGCGAACATGACACGGCGTTACCTTTCATTTCCTCAATCGTCATTGTTCTCCCGTGACTGATTATTGTCATCTCACTCTGTCTCATTTGTAATCGCCGAGCGCGAAGATGGTGAGATCTCGCGTCCGGCTATATACGATCGCATCGAATTCAGTTCGATGAACGAAGTTCAGTTGAAACCGACGGATTCTGAGATGACCGTGGGCATCTTCCGGATCTCGAGTGTGAGTTATACAATTAATAAAAATAAGATGAAGTACACATAGTGAATATGTACACAGTGTCATCCTGATTTCACGAAGCTCCGACGTGATTTCGCTCGCTCGTCGTTGAATTCTTTTCAGGGTTATACATACACACACACACACACACACACAGACGATAATTCCGATATAAATTATAGAGATACTCTAAGTCGTAGGATTAAAGGATTCTCTTCTTCAAGGGTTCGCAAATTCAGTCACAAATTTCCTACGTAGCTTATTGCGATAGACAGAGAGAGAGAGAGAGAGAGAGAGAGAGAGAGAGAGAGAGAGAGAGAGAGAGTGGGGGGGGGAGAAAGACACAAATGGCTTAAATAGTAGCGACAACCTCTCATGGTTCTATTCTCTTCGCGTTAGATAACGATGCATTCTAGATAACGATGCACTCTAGACGGGCGCGCACCGAAATCGGAGGATGCCCCGCGGTCAAACAGCGCGATACACCGTGACGAAGGCGCTCGTAAGTTTGTCAATTAAGGGGAGAATTATATGCGGAGTAGCCCGTTTTCAAGGCTATTTTTATGAACTTTTTTTTTAACAGAAACGGTAGGATCAATGGACTTGAAATTTTCACAGTGTATTCATTAATGTTCAAAGTATAAAATAAATGTTATTGAATCACAAGAACCGATCCAATTTGTAATTACAGATAAAAATGCAGTCATCCGAGTTTGCGAGCTCTATGTTTGCTGTCGACATAATTCCGGGCCTCATACTACTCTGAAACCAAAAAAATGAGAAAGATTTTAAAACTATACGGTTGCCATTACCAAAGGTTGTCGTACCGTCGTAAAATGAAGGCAGTGAAAGCAAGTTTGGAAAAAATAAGGACTGTACAAAAAACAAAAGTATCGAAAATGAAATTTTTTTCAACTTGTAATCATGTTAAAAAAAAAAATGAATAAAATGAAACTGTATTCGGCGTAGGGGCGCGAAAACTACATGTATACTATATATTGTGTAAAAATTTCAAGTTATTCGGTTCAGTAGTTTTTGCGTAATCGTGTTGACAGTCTAAGAAAATGGTGTTTCCAGATAAATGCGTTTAAAGTATGTTTATATGTACTTTTCATATAGATGGTAACAAATTTATTTTATACTTTGAACATTAACAAATACACTGTGAAAGTCTTTCAAGTCCATTGATCCATGAGCGTTTTTGTTAAAAAAATTCGTAAAAATATCCCTGAAAACGGTCTGCTTCGTATGTAATTCCCCCCTTTAAGTTACTGCATCGCGATCGACACATCCCACACCACCGACTAATATATACCACCGATATTATTATTATTACTATTATTATTACTATCATCATCATCATCATCATCATCATCATCATCATCATCATCATCATCATCATCATCATCATCATCATCATCATCATCATCATCATCATCATCATCACTTGCTGCTGTCACCGTCGCCAGTTAAGTCCTTACCAGACAGACAGACAGACAGACGATGAGTATAGTAATATAACCAAAGGAGACAAGCTGTGGAGTGTAGAGAAAAAAAGCCCGCACGAGTTTCAACCTACCTACGTATAATCGCTGTGAGATAACGAAAATCTTTTCGAAGCTCGAGGTGTTATTGATGTTGCGCAATATTAAAAAGTTTAACAGCACCGTGTTTAGAGCCGGTAGGAGGGCCATCGCCAGAACAGTGTTTCTCAAATCGTCATCGCGGTGAGGAAGAAAGGGAAGAAAGGGAAAGAGCGAGGGTCGATGGCGCGATCACCGTGGATCGGGAGGAACCGCGATATTTCGGCTCCGCCGATTTCAACGCGTGTTTCGGCGGGGGAGGGGGACGGGGACGTGTTACACGTTCCTCGATCGCAATAAGAAGAACGCTTCCCGACTGACGTGTCGGGTGACGATCGGTAAAGTTTTGTCAATTAGAACGCACGCGGAGGACGCCGAGAGGTGTGCGGATCTCCTCTTCGTCATATATGCACACACACACACACATCCCCCGTATATGCAACACACACCCCGATGGATGTATATAAGGGAGAGCGCGCGAGAGCGACGCGCGAAGAAGAGAGAGACCCGAGATCACACTCGGCTCGCGTCCTCGTGCGTACGACAGCAATAAAACGCTAATTATCTTGCGTTGAGAGAGGAACAAGGGAGCGGATAGCGACTCTTCGCGGCCCGAAGCTAATCGAGACGGTCCCCCGGCGCGGCGAAGCGATATAATAATAATACATCGATGCGTGATATTATAGACAAAAAATAAAAACACGATTCCTCACGTGTTTCACGCAAACGGGAGCGACTTTTCTAACTCGAATGTGTCAGAGAGTAAAAGTATCGACGACTAAATCTCGCAGTTTTCGCGGCCCGAAGGTCTCTGTTATACTTGGAAAGATTTGAAAGATGAATACATATCGCCGAACGACGTTATTGTTGGGGTCGCTCGATAGCCAAGGGCTCGGAGCTTACGGGTAGTTTTTCGTCTCTGTGTAAATTTGCTCCCGAGAGATCGAGAGTCCTCGTCGGCAGGACGGCAGAGGGTGGAAATCGATTTGAGAAACACTGCGCTGGGAAGAGAGAGAGAAAGAGAGAGAGAGAGAGAGAGAGAGAGAGAGAGAGAGAGAGAGAGAGAGAGTGTGAGAGAGAGTGAGAGTAGGGAGGAAGTTTATATTGTCGTGTGATATTAATAATTTACACGATTTCGCGTCGGTTCGCGATTGCGTTCGATTGTTTACGGACCGATTCGCGCGATCAAAGAGAGATAGAGCAAGCAAAAGTAGCAAGAAAAGGCGGCGAGATTGCAAGAGAATGAACTTAACTATAAATACCAAATCGGTATCTTACTCTATAAATGTTGGCTATTGTTAAATGTTGAATATTGTTCCGCGGAGAGCTCGTGCGTTCCGCCCGACAGCACGTTTCCCTCTCGCGTAGTTTTTACTTTCGTTCGACGGTATCGATAAAGGAAATGGACACTCGATAAGAACGGAGACACTCCTCACGACAATAATTGAACTTCTATTGTCTAATCTAATCTCCCGAGCGTTTCTCGAGGACGATTCTCGAGGAAAATTTTACGAAAGTTGATACATGCGAATTCGCAAATGGTTCTTCCAAGAAAATGGGATGGGTGGAATCGCTTCATTGAGAACGAATAGTTTCCGCGACAATAAAAAATCCTTGATTTCCTCATTCTGCAATGGCGGACCGTAGTATTCTCGAAATATTGAGAGCGAAAGATAGAGAAAGATAGAGAAAGGGAGAGAAAGGGAGAGAGAGAGAGAGAGAGGGAGGGAAGGAAGAGGGGGAGAGAGAGAGAGAGAGAGAGAGAGAGAGAGAGAGAGAGAGAGAGAGAGAGAGAGTGAGAGAAGGGCAACATTCTTTATGCGGAATACGTGCTTCTCACGCGGGCGCTGCGAACTCTCCGCGTTCTAATTGTAATCTAACTATTTGGGGATCGCGAGCGGACGCCGGATCTACCGATCCCTGCGAGTCACTGAGCATCCTTGGTCACGGAGAAAGAAGCTTCTGATATATTACCTGTTTCCTCTCGATCTGCCTTCGGGAACTCTCTCTATTGTTCTCGCTCCTTCCTTCCTTCCTTCCTTCCTTCCTTCCTTCCTTCCTTCCTTCCTTCCTTCCTTCCTTCCTTCCTTCCTTCCTTCCTTCCTTCCTTCCTTCCTTCCTTCCTTCCTTCCTTCCTTCCTTCCTTCCTTCCTTCCTTCCTTCCTTCCTTCCTTCCTTTTTTTTTTTTTTTTTTTTTTTTTTTTTTTTTTTTTTTTTTTTTTTTTTTTTTTTTTTTTTTTTTTTTTTTTTCCTTCTTTTTTCTTTTCCTTCTTCCTTCCTTCCTTCCTTCCTTCCTTTTTTTTTTCCTTCCTTCCTTCCTTCCTTCCTTCCTTCCTTCCTTCCTTCCTTCCTTCCTTCTACGCCGCCATTTATGTCAACGTCTCTCGCGTAAACTCATGTAGGCGTCGTCGCGGATTTCGTGTCTCCCGTGGCGTGCCGGGCCCACTTATATTTTGCAAGCGCCAGAAAATCCGGAACTCGCGCGGGAGACACGAAATACGCGCCGCACGACGACATCGTTAAACCGCGAAGGAAAGGCGCCCTCTCTCGACGACGATTCACCACCCTATGCGCATCCTCCATGTGCCCTTCCGCCATGTGCAGCACAATCGGCCCCGAGCCGTTTTCCGTTGATCCCCGTTTTGCGACGAATTGCGAAGGGGGCGACCAATGGATGCAACGCAGTGATACTTTCAGACAATACATTACGATTAATTACACTTGTATTGGTAAATTAATCTATATTATGATTATTGAATTCCGATTAAAGAGGAATATACGATATATATAAATATTAAAAAAAAATATATATATATATATATAGATATATATATACGTATATTCGATTTCGGTCAATGCTAAATAATTATTATAATTAATTGAGAAATAAAGTGTGCTCTATGTCACGTTTGTGGATTTCACTGAAACTGCTCTGCGACCACCTTGAACATCCCGTTTCGTATGACTATCTATAATCGTTTATAATCGTGTCATCCCAAGCAACAAATTATTAGGGTCATCCTTATGAAGCATAAGGCCCCGAAAAGGCTGAAAGTAGAATGCCCTGAAAAGGGGATGCCTCATTATTGTCACATCAGGCTCCGAGATGGATCTTTTAGATTGTACGAAATAAGATTTTGATAAGGAAAACTGACGAGGGCCTTAAAAGAATTTGTTAGGGATGTCTTAGGTTTAATAAACAAGGCTTTGATGGGAAAAGCTGAGAAGGGTCTTGGAACGATTTCTCAGGGATGCCTTAGATTTTACGAAATAACGCTTTAACATGGAAAACTGATGTAGGCCTTAGAAGGATCTTTTAAGAGGATGCTTTAGATATACAAAATCAAATGTTGTTATAGAATATTAATAAGAATTAAATCGTGTTGAATAAAATTGTCATAGTTTAGTATTGTTTTAGTAAGTACATTCTATCTGGTTCTTTTAAAGATTTTTTAATTATGCCGCAATTAAAGACAAATTTTATTAATTTTATCAGTTACCATTCATTCATTAGTCTCGTCTAAGGATTTTTCTAGTATTGCCTTCGCTTTGAAATGCAGCAAACTTTAATAAAAACAATAGCAGGATTTGTATATTTGTATAAAGTATGCTATATTTTAAAAATAAGAAATTCTTGTTGCATATACTAACTAACAAGGTTATAAAGAAATATAAAGTCTAAGAATTACAGTCTAAATTTCTTGGAATGAAAAGAAGGAATATTTTCACTCAAGCAATAATAAAAATATTGCCTTATGACGACCCGTTGAACCATACCATACCCGTTATACATCTCGTAGGGTCCATTATCTATTTATCCCTACTAGGGCCCGATTAATGTTAGGGAAAAATAATTAGGGCCTTACCGGAGCCTCATTAATTTTTCTATTCGGGTTGTTATTTCTTGACAGTAAGAGATGAGCCCATGCAGGCAGAATAGGAAATCATGATGACATCAAAATGACGTCAAAATAATGAGGAAAATTCATTTTTCACCATAATTTGATCATTCTCTCATTCATTTTGGTGTCATTTTGATGTCCTGTTTGATGACTTCCTGTTCTGCCTGGCAAGAGGAGGCATCAAGTGGAGTCCAAGTGGAAAAAAGAATCACAAGTCCAGACGACAAGGAAACGCATAGAAAACCCATAGAAAAGCTCGTTCGATCGCTCGATCACGATCCGATCGTTCTCCCATTATTTTCAACGTCATTTTCGCGCGTTACTGCGTTACTTGTTCCACCTGAGAAAGTCGGCCGGCCAATCGTCGATTCGCACTACTTAGCGGAGACCGCCGCGCCGCCGGCGTCGAGCCGCTACCAATCGCGGGCCTCGCTGCTTTACTATGGCAACCGGGTTGGGTTCGCGCGCACGTCGCAACACACTGCAGTCGTTGACAGTCGTTCACACAGTGCTCCATACTTTGTACTCCGCAGTCCGCAGTCGTCTCGGAGCCGTGCAGCGCGCAGGATTATCCGGGATCGCCGTGTGCCGACGATATCATCGTTACGCCGCTCAAGTGTTGTGTCAACGCGCTCTCTGTCCCGCGTCTCTCTCTTTCTCTCCGCCGCGTTTTTCTCTCTGCCGCGCAAATCAGTGAAGTTTAAAATCGCACGGATTCACGGCTTTAGGCAGCAGCGGGAACCCACCACGCGCGGAGCCACGCACAGCTGTCCTCGCGTTCGTCGTGAGGGAACTTGAACGTGCGCGATTGGGTCGCTGCCGCGACCCACACATCGACAGAGGTTAGTGTGCGCGAGATCTCGGGTGATTCAAATGGAAATCCCGGGCATGCGGGTCGTCGCCACGCGAAATCGCCACGATCGGATCTCCACCTCTCTCTCTCTCTCTCTCTCTCTCTCTCTCTCTCTCTCTCTCTCTCTCTCTCTCTCTCTCTCTCTCTCTCTCTCTCTCTCTCTCTCTCTCTCTCTCTCTCTCTCTCTCGGCCAATTAATTATCTCGATTAGTCGCGGGAAATGTGTAACGGCGCGGTCGCGTAACGAACGTAACCTGCATAGTAAGAGCAGTGGCGTGGGACACGGAAATCGGTCGCTTCGGGATTAAAATTATAATTACCTCACGTGACCTCGATGCGCGCGAGCGTTAAGCGGAGTGTCAACCGAGGCGGTACACGAGGCGGCGCGCGCTCTCTTCGGCATTTTTGCAACGGTAAGGACTCGGATCGCAGTTGCGCATTTTTCAGTCGTAGCAAGTATAATCAATCTTGATTAGTCTCAATTTCCTCGCTACTTACTTGCGTTGCACTGCCTGAGTCTTTCTGCGTCGTGGATTTGGTTTCCAGCTTCTTGGTGAGAAGGCCAGCTAAACGACGCGAATGATCACCGGTTCCCGGGTGATCCCGGATGATGATTCACTTGAGAATAACGTCACATCAGTAGATAATAGACAGTACGATAATAGATGGAGGTAAAAGGAATTATGCAATGCATGTCCATTATCCGCGCGCGAAGACAGCGTGCGGGACTCGTGTTGACAGTAAGAAAGAGAGCGAGAGAGAGAGAGAGAGAGAGAGAGAGAGAGAGAGAGAGAGAGAGAGAGAGAGAGAGAGAGAGAGAGAGAGAGAGAGAAGGAGAGGGAGGAGAGAGAAAAATTGTCGCACTAGGTAGAAAAGTTTCACGTCGCGATTAACAATAGCCCCGCGCCGTCATTGTGTGCAAGGTAGTCTGAATTGTGCGAGTTGCGCGATAAATGTGAGCCGCGCAAATAAAAGCGACTGAAGCGACACGCGCATTCTTCGTCCTCCACTCATCACGTTCGCATAGAGAATCTTCCAGACGACTCTTACTCTCAGATTCCGATTAAACGACAATCGTCGACGATTAGCTCGGCCGAGTCATGAAATCGTCGAGAAGGAAAATGAAACAGTATTTATTTATCTTACAAATTTGACAATTTGATATGAAAGTAACGCGGTGTTGGTTGTTAAAACGAGCAGGAAAGCTCTCTTGTTTTATCTCTTTACGTTATACTTAAAGTCACCGCGTCTCTCCTCTTCCCGGCCCCTCCACCAGTCAAGCGTTAATGACAAATTACGTAGCTAAAACGTCGCCGTTGGCGATTTTGCCGCTTATCGCCGATTGGCCGAGCAGCCGGAGTTTGCTCGAGAAGTTTACGACAAAGTCGCGAGTCGTTCGCGCGATCGAATCGTTTGCTGCAACGCGTGCCGTGATGCCGGTATTGTATTCGACGGTTTTGTTCGTTTTTCTTCTTTCATTTATTATTTCTTCCCATTTTATCCCATTTTATTTTATATTTTTCAAGCGCCGCGTCACCGTCGCGTCTCCATATACGGCCGAATAATTAAATATTTCAAGGTAAACACACCAGAAAGCTGTGTTCGTCCGGTGGCTCCGCCTGGACGAAATCGATGATCGTTACAGCATGAATTTTATCGGTGCGGACGCGTGCACGGTGTATTCCGCGCCCTCGATACCTCGATGTATCGCGTGAAATTTTTCAGCTGTGCTTTGTAATAGGGCCTTGGATAAAAAAAGGCGAAAGCGCAAGGCTACGTGTGACGCTTAACGCTACTCTTGATCGAGGCAGCCAAAGAAAAGTATTCTATTTGTAAAGTGTTTTTCCCCATAGCCTCATATTCTAAGCGAAGCCTTTTATAGGAAAAGGATTTTTCTTTTTCGATAAAGCTCTCTTTCGATTCAAATGAACTATTCATCTAAAATTTATTAGATATTATTCTAATTGTTGATTTCCTCTTATTTTAAGAGGATTTTCTCTTGAATCTTATCTATCAATTAATTTTCCTCTTATATCAAGAGGAACGCTTATCGGCGTTTTTCCTCCTCCATCTACTCATGCAGAGACTCTCTCTCCCTCCCTCTCTCTCTCTCTCTCCCTCTCTCTCTCTCCCTCCCTCTCTCTCTCCCTCCTTCCCTCCCCCTCTCTCTCCCTCTCTCTCTCCCTCCCTCCCTCTCTCTCCCCCTCCCCCCTCCCCCCTCTCTCTCTCCTCTCTCTCTCTCTCTCTCTCTCTCTCTCTCTCTCTCTCTCTCTCTCTCTCTCTCTCTCTTCTCTCTCTCTCTCTCTCTCTCTCTCTCTCTGCATATGACGTGATCGTCGTCACATTTACGTATTTTATGGACAACGTTTAGAGTAAAGGAACAAAGAAGAGAGATTATTATTCAGTCTGTGTTGCTTTCCCCGGTTGCTTCGTCATGAACAAAAATTGAAGAATTTTTGGATAAAATCAACTTGAAGATACAATGGCTTATATTTCAGCGTTAAGTACATACATATATCCATATATCCATTTATCGCGTATCGCGTTGCGACACTTGAGTGCCATTTAGAGTACTTGAAATTACAAATTTATATTTTTTCCTACTTTTTCCTACAAAAAGTAAAAAGAAAAAACATTTAACTGGAATTTTTTTCGGACAGTTTCATAATAATTTTCTCTCCTTTTCTTACAAAGGAACGTGTATAATCAGTGAGAATAAATAATAATCCTTTATATTAAGATTATATTATTTGTGTTTAAGAGGAAATTTATATTAAAATCAATAAGATTTGGATTATACATATAACATATAATTCCTCTAACTTTAAGAACAACATGTTTATAATATTTTCCTCTTAATGTTAGAAAGGAATCCTCTTCAGGAGGATCTTCATATAAGATATAAGAATAAAAGTTTCTAAAATTTAGATTTAAAATTCCGCTTATTTCGAAATTACTTTTTTTTGGGATCACGGCGCAAAGCCGTGTTTTTCCGGTCAACTCGCGAGAAGAGCCTATTTTAGCTTGGCTGTGCATTCAGGATAGGACGATAGGACATATCTCTTTTTTCTTCTTTTTTTTTTAAATGCTCTCTTCCTCGTCTCTCTCTCTCTCTCTCTCTCTCTCTCTCTCTTTCTTTCTCTCTCTCTCTCTCGACTCAAAGACCCGTCGTCTCATGCGAATTTGCACTCGGCGATAACGCGATGAAGCTTTCTGCATTCCGTAATAAATTCGGTACTCCCCGGCGTCCGGCGCCGGGGGCGAATGGTTGATGAAGCAAAAAATTGTTGGCTCCGAAGAGCTGAGGGGAAATATCGGAATATTTTGAAGCGGCGGGAAATAAAGTATCGGAAATATTAACACCGTCAGGGAGAGCCATATAGGCGACAGTCAATCGTCCGACAGTCGGAATGAAAAATGCCGCTTGGTTTCGTTTCGACTCCATCCGGAGCATGCGAAGTATCTCGAGCGAAATCGAGGAAAGTTTGATCCCTCGCGGTCGCACAGACAGGCGCACTCGGCGCCTGCGTCTCTGCGAGGTGCGCCTCCTCCGGTAATTAGAAGACGCTAACGGGTAAGCGCGCTTATGCAATGAATGAATGAGGCTGTTGTTGGCGCGTTGTCCGACGCTCGCTTCCAATTACTGCCGCAAGAACGCGATATGCGCCGGTTTTTCACAATTCTACGGCTACGCACACGTGCTACGACGAGCACGACCGTTGCGCGTCGCGTTTGCGAGCCGCGAGCGCATCTGGAATATAAAACGACGCGCGTTAAGGGCCTTTTACACGCTTTATCCGTTTCCGAATCCGTTTCCGAATCCGAGTGCAGACACGTGCGCATTCCGGCAGATTAAATTAGAGGGTCTACGTATACGCTCGTGTGCGATATATCGTGTGCGATATATGCGATAGATATATCTATATGTACCAGGGTGTCTGAGATCTTTTGGAAACGTAAAATTAATCAGTGCAAATTAATCAGATCCAAGTGAGAGCCACAAGTCAAGTGCCATTTGGCAAGAAGCGCAATAGTTATTAGTGATTGAAGTTATTATAACGATTGAAAGTGACCAGATCTAGAAACTTTTATTAATTAGTAGCTTGAAGATTTGCGTATTTATTTTGTTAAAATGGTAAAGAACTTTTTTTGTTCAGAACCTAATCTACAATACAATTATATGACGTCCGTTCAAGATTCACAGTTCAATGCTCGATATACTCGTCTATCTATCGCTGGACACAAAAAAGATTCCTATATTTTGCAAATAATTTTTTGCAAATAAGAACGCAAATTTTCAAAGAGCGTTTAAATGCGGTCATCTTCAATCACTGATAACTATTCTGATCACTGATAACTATCGCGATTTTTGCAGAATGGGACTTTTCCTCTCAGTCTGATCTAATTAATCTTCACAATTTTTCTTCCGGTTTCCGAAAGATCTTGGACACCCCGTGTGTGAAAAAAGGGGAGGGACTACTTCGTCTGTTTAATGCGTGCTTATGCCGGGCTAATTTCACGTGGCTCGCTGCTCACCGCGATGGGCAATTTTGTTTTAGATATTTTTTCATATTTCGACTTTCAATCTTTTAACACGTGTCTCTTGTGTAGTCATTATATGATAACATTTCGCTTTCGATTACGTTTCGTCCTAAGGCGAAAATGTCAAACGGCTCGAACGGCGCTGAAAGTGTTTCAGCGTTCAGGGTGACCACGCGCAATACGGTGCTTTGATATATATGTTGATGTCCATTTAAGATTTTGAGCTCATCTCCGGCGAATTTTGCGGTTGCAATTTTTGCAAAAGGGAGGAATTACATTCGGAAGTGTGGCCGTTTTCAAGGTTATTTTTATGAATTTTCTTGAACAGAAGCGGTAAGATCAATGAACTCGAAATTTTCATAGTGTATTCATTAATATTCAAAGTATAGAGTGAATTTTATCGAATCACAAGAACCGATCCAATTTGTAATTATAGATAAAAATGCA